AACTGTGAATATTGAGTCCCATTTGCTATATCATTTGCTCTCATTGTGTGTTTAGAGAAGGACATATTATTAAACCTAATTTAATTTTTTTGTAACCGTTCTAAGGTTAAAATGCTGGCATTGCAAGCCTTTCTCTCTAGAAACTAAGTGTTCTTCCTGTGAACAAAGACACTCGTAAATAACGATGGAGTAATAATCAAAATTATATTTCATACTTATATAATATTATTATCCACAGTCCATATTTAAATTTCATTAATTTTCATTTAGCATTATTTCTTTTCCTGGACCAGAATTTAGCCTGAGATGCCACATTACATTCAGCTGCCAAGTCTTTTAATATGGAACAGTTCTTCAACTTTTATCTTCCGTGACCTTGACATTTTTGAAGTATATGGACAATTATTTTGTTGAATGCCCTTTGATTTGGGCTTATCTGAAGTTTTTTCATGATTAGATTCAGATTATACATTTTGGGCAAGGAATGTACCACAGAAGGAATATGGTGGCCCTTCCTGGGCACCACATTAGGTGGTACCTGATATTTTGCCCTAACATTTGTGATGTTAACTTCAACTGGTAAATCTTGTCTAAATCAAGTATTGTTAGGTTGAGTGTAAAAAGCAGTGATTTTAAAAAAAAAAATTATATAATTTCTTCTACAGTTGTAAGTTCCACTAATGTAAAAAATGACCTCTAACTTTTTCATTTATTTTATTCTTTGGATAATCTATTAATGTCATTTTAAAACTTGAATTATTTTACATTTGGCCAGTAGGGCCCCTTCAAACTGGTCCTTAAGACTTTTTAACCTGAATACTTCCTTACTTTGTGGCAAAATAACATAATCCAGCATCCTTTTATACTTTTTCTGCCCAGCCCTACAGTCTGGTTTCTTTCAGTGGGTAATGTTTACCCCATTTTTGTCCCATCATCCCAAATATGAAACACCTGTAAAAATGTAAATATGGTATATAACATGTAATATTAAATATTATTTAAATTAGTATTATTTAATATAAAAACATACATAAGCTCTAGACTGATTTCCAACCTACTTTAACACACTTGCATCAACCTCATCAAAACATTCACAGAATTGAAAACGTGGGACTCAGTGGATTAATGGCACATCATTACTTCTGCCTTCTCATTGGACAGAGCTAAGAAATACATGAGCATATATGTATACCCCCCAAAACACACATACACATATGCATATACATATATTTATCTCTCTATATATGTACTATATTTATACACACATACATACCGAATGTACATATATTTGTAATCTCTTCTCCAACAATGAGAAACTTAATTCCTATCATTCTCAATGTTTAATCATTTGCAAAACTCCAGAATTTACAGAAAGTTCTTTCAGAATTACAAGGTAATACTACTATTTAAAAAAAAAAAAAAAAAAGCCTACACTTTTGATCATTACACTAGGGACATATAATCAAAGTGTCTTAGATTATTTCTCCCCCATTCCTTAGATAGAGTCATTCGTTACTTTTTGATTTCTATTTTGGGGTTTTGCTTTTTTTTTAATAAAATCATTTCTCATCCTTACTGGTATTATTACTTTGAAATGTAAAACATTGACATGATTTCCCAAAGTCACAACTATACATAACTATACATCCACATTTTTCTATCTCATACTCATCCCCTAGAGATAATTGTCATTAATTTCTATCATTACTGTATTTTTTCCAAGTGCTCAAAAAATATACATATTAGCTCTCCCTTAAAAAAAAAAAAAACATGAAAAGTAGTTTACTACATATTTTCTTTGGTAACTTGGTTTTAAAAATTTTTTAAATGTACCTTGGGAAAATGCTGTCAGTTCAGATACTTCCATTCTTTTTACAGCTTAGTATAACACAGTGAAACTGGGCCATAATTTATCCACTCATTCTCCTGTGCATAGGCATTTAGGTTTTTTTCACTAGCAAGTACAACAACACTATGTAGACATTTTCATACTTTTGGAGGAATATCTCCAGAATAAAATCCTAACAAGAAACAGCTAAGTCAGAAAGTAAACAAATGTAGTTTTGTTGAATATGCCATAAGTTTAGTCACTGGGTATGACAGCAGCAGTTTCTCCACAGCAACACTAAGAGGCATTATCAAAGCTTTTTAAAGGCCATTTTCAAGTTTTGTTTTGTTTTTAAAATTGACTATTCATTTTCCTATCAGATTTTTGGACTTCTCCCAAACCTTCTTTTAATATTTCTCAAAAAACTTATCACCAAAACAACAAATAACCCAATCAATAAATGGGCAAGACACTTCACAGATGAAATATGATCAGTCAACAAATCTATGAAGAAATATTCAATATCACGAGCAATTAACAAAATGCAAATTAAAACTACACTGAGATTTCATCTCACTCTAGTCAGAATGGTAATTATCAAGAATACAAGTAACAATAAATGTTGGTGAGAATATAAGGAAAAGTGGGTGGTGGTGTGTCACCAGACTGGATGGGGGAGGGGGGGGGGGGGGGGAAGGGGAGTGGGAATGGGAAAGACAGTAGAATGAATCAGACACAACTTTCCTATGTTCATATATGAATACAGGGCCAGTGTAACTCCACATCATGTACAACTACAAAAATGGGAAGTTATACTCCATGTATGTATGATGTCAAAATACATTCTACTGTCATGTAAAACTAAAAAGAACAAATTTAAAAAGAGAAAATTTAAAAAATAAAGTTCTTTATATCCAATGTTTTTTTAACACCCTTTATGAGATTTAAGTTGCAATATCCCAGTTTGTATATCTTTCAACTTTGCTTCTAGTGTTTGTCATAAAAATTCTTTTCTACTCAAACATTAATCTTTTATTACACTTGAATTTTGAGTTATTATTATAAGGCCTCCTAGAGACCTAGATTATAGAGGAATTTATCCATATTTTCTTCTACAACTTGTATAGTCTCAGTTCTTCTGATCTACCAGCAGTTATTTTTTATTTTTATTTTTTTGGTACTGGGGATTGAACTGGGGAGGCACTTAACAATTGAGTCACATCCCCAGCCCCCCACTTTTTAAAAACATTTTTTAAAATATTGTACTTAGCTATAGGGTCTCTCAGAGTTGCTTAGCCTCACCAAATTGCTGAGGCTGGCTTTGAACTCACAATCATTCCACCTTAGCCTCCAGAGCCATTGAGATTACAGGTGTATGCCACTATGCTGGGCTCACCTGTAGTTTATTCTTGCATATGGTGGGATATATCTAATTTTATCATTTTTTTTTTTTTTTTGGTACTGTTATAAGGCCTCCTAGAGACCTAGATTATAGAGGAATTTATCCATATTGTCTTCTTCAGAGGTGCTTTACTAGTAAGCTACATTCCCAAACCTTTTAAAAAAAATTTTTAAAAATTCTAAGTCAGTGTCTAAGTTGTTGAGACTGTCCTTGAACTTTCAATACTTCTGCCTCAGCCTCTAGAGTTACTGAGATTACAGATGTGGGCCATGAGGCCCAGCTAATTTTATTGTTTTATAAATGACTTTTCAGTTACCTTAGCAACATTAGAGCAATGAAACTACTTTGTATGATACTACAGTGATGAGTATGTGTTATAAGTTTGTCTAAATCCATAGAACATACACCAAGAGTGAACCCTCTGAGAATGATATGTAACAAATTTATCACTCAGGTGGAGGAGGTTATGCATGTTCGGGAATAGGAAGTATATAGAAATCTCTGTCTTCTGCTCAATTCCAAAGTGAAATTAAAACTTCTTTATAAAATAAAGTCTAAGCTGGGTGCAGTGGCTCATGCTTGTAATTCCAGTGTCTCAGAAGGTTGAGGCAGAAGGATTGCGAGTTCAAAGCCAGCCTCATCAAAAATGAGGCACTAAGCAACTCAGTGAGACCCTGTCTCTAAATAAAATACAAAATAGGGCTAGGGATGTGGCTCAGTGGTTCAATTCCTGGTACCAAAACAAATAAATAAAGTCTATTTAAAAACCAATTTTTGCCCCAATAAATTTTGAAATGCCATGCTCATTACATACATATATTTCTGAAAATATACAGAGAGAAAGTACAATATTGAGTTCTCTGGACTTCTTATTCTATTCCTCTGATCTGTCTATTCATGTACTGGTACCATTCACAATTATAGTTATTAGAGCATGTTAAAAAATCTGATAGGACTATATTCAATCATCTTTTTCTTTTTAGTGTTTTGGGCAAAAAGTTCTTCTCCAAGTTTGTTATTAATTTTTAGTTTTACTGCAGTATAACCAGAGAAGATTCTTTGTAATGTTCTACTTTATGAAACTTAACGTTTCCTTTGTGACATATTATATCTTGTCTAGGAAGTTACAAAATATCTTTTGTTATGCATCTTACAAAACACTTCCACATACATAATTCTAAATTCACAATGTCTTGTAGGCATTCTATGACTAGTATATAGAAATTGGGGACTAGAGGAGAGCAGGAACAATTCATCTTTCCCTACTCTCTAAAATAAATTAAATGTTGAATTAATGTCTCCTGTGGGTTGTCAACAACAACAACGAAAAAAAACCCTTCAACCCTGACTTGTAATTCTCAGAACTGCAGTTTTGTGACCGCCCTAACAGATGTAAGTATCCAGGAAAATTGCTAGGAGATCTTTGTTATTATTGTTTTGTCTTGTGGTACCTTAGACACACTTTTGTAACGTTTCTTTATTTTTATTATTATTATTATTATTATTATTATTATTATTATTATTATTAAAATACCTGCTGGGTTCCTAAATTCTTTAAGTCTAGACTCTTCGTACAATTCAAGTAAAAATATTTTTTTTCGCCTTAATATTTCTCTGAGTTTTCTTTTAAAGAAATGAGGGATTCCAACGTCTGGAATACAATCCAGGTTAGTTAAAATCCAAGACCAGTGGAAATTTTTTTCTGGAGATTTCTATTGCTTCCCCTGATGTCTCCTTGGAGTGATTGACAGGTGCCGTTCGCACCAACAGGGAAGCCGCAAATTCTGCCCTAAACTTTAGAAAACCCGGCAGAAGATGAGCACCCACGGCAACGGTAATGGGAGATGTCTTCTCAACAGAGCTCTGTATGAAGCCGCTTTTCGCAGCGAGTAAGGAAGTTAGGCAAAATGATTCTCCACCCAGGAGTCAGCGCGCTCCGCAGAAACCATGAGTTGGTTGTTTTCTCCGGTATTTTAAACAAATGAACCAGTCGACATGCCCCAAGCGCCCTCTCTTTTGGCTGAGGAGCCGACCTTGTCATCGCTGCAGCCTGCTGCCTTTTCCCCACACCCTGAGCCACAAGAAACCAGTTGGGAGCCGGTATAGTACGGACGTATATCTCCTGGCTTCCCGAGGATGTGCCCCGCACAAGGGCCTCACCTGTGGGTAGAAATGTTGCATGAACTGCTCCCGCGTAACGCCCTCGAGCCGAGGTACCGGGATGCGCTGCCCGGTCATGGTTGCTCACGTTCCCTTCTTCGAAGGCCTCGGAACTTTGGCTCCAAAGCGTACGTCAGCGTGTGATCCGCTCGGAAACACGACTTGAGGAGAAAAGGTCCGCGAGTCCGGCGGACTCCAGAGGACAGCTGTCTGAGCGCCAGGAGGGAAGCCGAAGGGCCTGTGTGCTAGAGAGCGGCGATGGACGGATTCACCAGAGGTGGCAGCAACAGGCCAGCTTTGCTCTCCAGTCCCTTGCTTGGAAACTGCTAGGTGGCTTCCCATCGGCTTCCTTTCAGCGGGCACAGGCAAGCAGAGGGGTGAAAGGTCATAAATATGGCGCTTGCTTCCCGTCTGCTACTCAGTCCGCTGTTTTCTGGGTCCTTTCCCGGCGGGCTTATCCGACTCCGGGCACCCGGTGTGGCCGAAGTGAGGCTGCGGTTGGCCGGGTTTTGTTACTTCTGCAGCCGCCGCCTTGGCTCCGGAGTGGCGCCGTTTCCTCGCAGCACTTGCAACTTGGAGGCCCTGGTGCTGCCTTCTCGGGGCCGCCGGCGACCCCTGCTCAGCTCCCCGAGACTCCCCGCAGCCCTCGCTGCTTACCCTGTTTGCTCTCGGCGCGACTACAGCACGGACGAGCAGCCCCAGCAGCGCCAGAAAACCAAGATGATAATTCTGGGATTCTCCAACCCCATCAACTGGGTTCGGACTCGAATTTATGCATTCCTTATCTGGGCCTATTTCGACAAGGAGTTCAGCATCGCAGAATTCTCTGAGGGGGCGAAGCAGGTTTGTTTCCCTAGGTGACTGTTCTCCTCTCACGCATTCAGCTGTTACACACAGAAGTGTTTTGATTGGGGTCACCTCACTCAAAGTCAAATTAATCAAACGTTGGTGGTGACACAGACACCAAGCAGAGGAGGTGTCCCAATAACATGCTAAGGTGAAGTCCCCCAGTGGTTTTTTTCACTCTACAGGTTTTACATCAGACAAATGGATTTGAGACCCATTCCTGCCACTTCAAAGCTATTCGGTCTTTTTCGGGGCATGATTTTCCAAATTTGCAAAATGGAGAAGACACATAGTAGACACTCCCGAAATAGTTACTGAATAAATTGAGTGGAAGAGATTATGGTGGGGAATGAGATAACACTTTCAAACTACTAGAATATCATTTCGGTTAGAAAGTCAAAACTTACTAACTTTTTTTTTCTTCTTTTAAAGAGAGAGAGAGTTTTTTAATATTTATTTTTTTAGTTTTCAGTGGACACAACATCGTTATTTTATATTTTATGTGGTGCTGAGGATCGAACCCAGCGCCCCGTGCATCCCAGGCCAGGGCGCAACCCCTTGAGCCACATCCCCAGCCCTTCCTAAAACTTTTTGACAGGACCCCCCCACCGCCTCCACAACTCCTTAGAGGATAACCTGGGGATGAGTAGTTTTACCCTTTCAAACAGTTTGCTGAAACTATCTGGGCTCTGATAAGTGCACAGTACCCAGCACACCAGGAATATTTAGCTTTTAGTGATTCATAGCCCCCTGACTTTGTTATGGCCCTCTTTCTGAGTGACTGATAATACCTTGCCTGACACTTGCCACATAATGGTCACTTTGAACCCTGAGATTATTTGCAGATTTTGTGTGTACATGCATTTTTGTAGGATCAAAGGCCATCTCAATCTTAATAGATTCTCTTAGTTTGTCATTCCCAAACATCATGTAACTATTGATAAACAAGTCAGTTTATTTTCCATTTAATACCTACATAAAGCTTATAATCATACCATCAGTATGATCATTTTACAGTATTGATATTTTTTACTCCTAATTTATTTTCAATTATTTTTATAATCTCAGCCATTTAGTTATGTCACCTTTAATAAATGTTTTTAACTTTATGTAATCAGCGCTAGTAGTAACTCCTGTTTCCTGTGTCCCTGAGTCAACTCTTGACTATTATATGTTTATAAAAAATAAACCAAAGCACAGTTTGATTAATATGTCTACTCAGCATCATGATAAAGTGTTAAGTCTCTGCTCATGTCGGGTCTCAAGGTCAGTTGTTGGTGTGATCCTGCTATTTTCTACAGTGCCTGCTAATGACATGAGTTTGTCCACCTTAACAGATGTGATTGTACCAGCTCATTTATGTGTTGGTAAGGAATGCAAATCATCTCCCCACCTTGAGCAGGAATCAGGCCTTAGCCCCTGTTTCTCTGAATACATAGAGATTGGAGTACTTTTGGGATCACACTAACCTTGTCTGTTAACTTTTTTAGCCTCTCTCCTTGAGATTAAACTATTTCTATTCCATCATCCAGTCTTTGTGTACTTTTTTTTTTTTTAATCTAAGTCAATTTGTTGTTGACAACTATTCTGATTTTCAAAAAGACTGTCTGGTGTCAGCATATTGTCTCTTAAACCTGTGTTTCGGACCAAGAAAATCAGTTCTTCAACACCCAAGATAATTTCTATGGTTTTATAAAAGAACATGACCAAAACCCCTTCTCTGTAACTAACTGTCATAATGCAATTATACCTCTGGTGTGTGGGTATAATTCTAGTGCTTGGGAATACTTTGATGTAAAATCAGCTAGTTTCTCTACCTGCATTGTCTTTCTCTTTTTCCTTAGTTTAATCTTCCAGAAGTTAGATGTTGTTGGATTTTGACTGTCAGTTAGATCATATTCAATAAGATTTTTATTTTTTAATCATACAACATGAAATTGAAAAGATACCTCTTCTAGTCTAATCTTCCTTAACATATGCTGAAACATTTCCAGAAAGCTGAAAAGATATCTCAAGGATGTGGAGCTAGTAAGTACACTGCCTGTGTTGCACTGTACAAGCAATCTTATTCCTCCAGCATCACTGGCATCTGAGATGGTTACATATCATCTAGGCTAGCATTGAGGAATTGATGGCCCAGTGTTCTGCCAGCCTTATGTTAGCTTCACAGACCCTGCTTGCCATTCCACATGACATGATATCTTCCCTATCATTGCTATCAAACCATATACTGTTTTTTTATATTGTGTACATTTTAGCCTTTCTTAAGAAAAAGAAGACTATTTCCTAGAAGCCTCTAGAGGTTGAATGTTAGTAAGTTACCAGAACTTTAGCAGGGCAGCTTCTTAATGATTCACTGTTTCTTTTTAGAATAATTTGCTCAGGTGTGATCTTCCTTGGCTATACAAATTAGACTCTAATGGTTGGGTTTCAACAAAAATGATTATGGTCTTTGCTTCTTTTGCCTAAATTATCACCCATCTTTCACATGAAAGCTTACCAGAACATGCAGTATCTCTGAATTCTGAATGCCTCCAGGATGTTTGCAAAGAATCCATGGATTAATCTGGATGTGTTCATTTTCTCAAAGTGCAACTCCACTATTATATTAATTTGCTAGGGCTATTATAGCAGAGTAACATGGACTGGGCAGCTTCAACAATAGAATTTCAGTATCAAGGTATCAGAAAGGTTGGTTTTTCCTGAGCCTCTTGCCTTGTCTTGCAGCTGGCTTTTGTTCTTGCTCTATTCTTGCATGGTCTTTCCTCTGCATGTTTGTGTCCCTGGATCTCTGTTGTGTGTCTTCATTACCCCCTCTCATAAGAACACCAGACAAATTGGATTAGAACCCACCCTAACAGCCTCATTTTAACTTAATCACTTCTCTAAAGGCCTTATGTCCAAATACAGGGGATTAGGATTTCAACAAAAGAATGAAAGGGACACAATTCAGCCCATAACAATTAGGCCATATCCTCTGTCTGATGTGTTTATGCATCTCTCTCTGCCAGTTTTTCAGATTTCAGTGGAGACATTGCTTCCTTTAGGAAGCCCTTTCTGGTCCTTCCAGGTTAGGTTAGGTGGCTCTTTTGAATCCTCTTAAATCATCATCTTGTTCTTAGTTCTGTCATAATTCTTGAACTTGTCAGTTAACATGTCTTGCACCCTAGGTAGACTGAAAGATTCTGGAAGACAAGGAGGGTCTTTTTTTTTTTAAATTAATATATATTTTTAGTTGTTGATAAACCTTTATTTTATTTATTTATATGCAGTGCTGAGAGTGGAACCCAGTGCCTCACACATGGTAGGCAAGTATTCTACCACTAAGCTACAACTCCAGCTCAGAGGGTCATAATTTACTGTTGCATTTCTCATTGTTAGGAATGTGGAGAATTGCATTCACTCCCCCCTCCCTTTAAAATGAGACCTCCTCTTTCAAAGTTAGGAGCTATCAACTGTAAACTTTTTCTCTTTCTTTCTACTTTCGTAAACATACCTTATCTTTCTCAATGAGGTTCAGACTGCAATCCAGATTTCTAGATTCCCAGTACAGTTTAGAGTTTCATGCTTTCTAACTGCTACCTATGTGATTAAGAGGTGGGTTATATATTAGTCAAATGGTTGTTTACTTTATCATTATTTTAAAAGAAAATATATATGGAGTATTTTTATTGAAGTATCTAGTGTGAACACCACCACATGCTATCATCTTCCAGGTTCTGAGACTATAAAAACAGTCAGCTAACTTTAAAGAAGTCATGCCTAACATTGATCCATTAGTATTTGACATTATTTATCACCTTTACCATAAAATACCCTTTGTTATTATTAGCCATTTAGATATGAACATTGTATGGCATTTTGAAATAATAATTGTCACTCTCCCCTCCTATTTTTTTTTCAAGGCTTTTGCTCATGTATCCAAGTTGTTGTCACAGTGTAAATTTGATCTATTGGAAGAACTTGTGGCCAAAGAGGTAAAATAAACTTTTAATTTTTATTTAAAAATAAATATATGACTCTTGCAATATAATGATACACACTCTTAACTTATAGTTAAAAATAGTGCATGTAGGGGCTGGGGATGTGGCTCAAGTGGTAGCGTGCTTGCCTGGCATGCTTGGGGTGCTGGGTTCGATCCTCAGCACCACATAAAAAAATAAATAAATAAAGATGTTGTGTCCACTGAAAACTGAAAAAAAAATAAAATTAAAAAAAAAAAATAGTGCATGTACCATCAACCAAAGTACAATCTGAAATTGTCTCATACTCCTTATGAGTATTTTGGGTCATATAAAAGCTGGAATGGTTGCACCTACTTGAGGCATAAATAAGTAAATGTGATGTCTTTCAGTTGCTATTATGTGTAATGTTCTAGTAGGAATTACCTAGTTGAATATTTAGATGCCTTTCAGTGTTGGCTTTGAGGATCAGTAGATATAATAGTAAATTTAAAAGCAGATTTAGAAAAATTCATTCTATAATAAAGGTCATATTTTGAAATATTTTCAAAAATTGAATTGGTATACTAATGGTTTGTTTTTCCCAAACTTAGGTGCTTCATGTATTAAAAGAAAAGATTTCTTCACTACCTGATAACCATAAAAATGCTCTTGCTGCTGACATAGATGAAATTGTCTATACATCAACAGGAGACATCTCCATTTACTATGATGAGAAAGGTAATGCTGGAGTAGTCCATCTTAAATGATCCCCAATTGTTCAGATGAGCTTAAGTAGTGAATAATCACAAAAATAGTAGTTTTGCTGTACAAGCAGATATTTTTAGAACTTCAAAAGAAATGATATATTCACTCTTTAAGACCTAGCTCTAAAAAAGTTGAGCTATGCTAATGGTTTTAATGCCTTTCTATGTAGGTATTTTCCCTACTGCTGTGTAATACACAAGAGAGAACATCATCACATGCTTTGGAAATTGTCTGTTTAGGACAAGCTGCTTCCATGGTGCAGATTGGAAATATTTGTTTCAGATCTCCTAACTTGAAGGAACAATTGAGCATTTTAAATTTACAGCTACACATTATATGGAAGGAGTAAAGAGTAAAAGAAAAAGTAGATACTATCAGCTCAAGACTGATATAATATGGAAAAAAAAATGTTAACTATAGAACTCCCAGATTGGATTTAGGGATAATGAAAAAAGTTGAAAGGAACCTTAGTGGTTATCAGTTCTTTTCCTTGTCCATTGAGTACACTTCCCCTATAGCATTCCTGAGAATTCATTGATTCCTTCTACACAGATTTGCATACGTAGTATGTGCCAGAGACATCAGAAATCTAGCCTCTGCTTTCATATTCCCAAGGCAGTATGATAGAGGACTCAATGGTTGGAAATTTTTAGTGCACATATTAATTTGAAACATTTGTAAAAGTATTTTTGGTGATAAAAGTATTTTATTCAACCCTAATATTTCATATTTCATCCTGGCACTGTGGTTACTGATTTTTTACATAAGATATTGTCAGAATTGCCTGACAAAGCAGAGTAAATCAGGGTGGAATAGAAGCCTTTTTTCTTTTGGGCAATTGAGCATAAGTTAATTACATAGCAGCAAAAAAAAAAAAACAAAGAAAAGAAAAAAAGTGATTTTTCCTGTTTGTTTTTGTCTTGACAACAGATACCTGCTGTAAATTGTTATAATTTTTAAAAATGCTATAAATTGGGAATATTCCATGTAGTGTGCTTAATAAAGTATATGTTGATAAACAGTAGCTTTATTACTGAGATGCAGAGATGAGGACAAATATATCACAAGCCCAAAGAAAATTTTCTAAAAATAAAGTATCAGGGCTGGAGTTGTGGCTAAGTGGTAGAGCTCTTGCCTACCATGTGTGAAGCACTGGGGTCAATCCTCAGCACGACATTAAAAATAAATAAATAAAGGTCTATCAGCAGCTAAAAAAAATATTTTAAAATAAATAAACAAATAAAGTATCAATCTAGGTATCTTAACAGTATACCAGAATTTGTATAAACTTTGATCTATAATAGCTATATAACTACTGCCAATTTCTGATTTTAGTCTGGCTATATGGATGATAGATTATTGTGATTTGTATTTGTGTATGTGTGTGTGTGTTTGTTTTTTTCTCTAAGGAAGGAAGTTCGTTAACATCCTGATGTGCTTTTGGTATCTAACCAGTGCCAACATCCCCAGTGAAACTTTGAGTGGAGCCAGTGTATTCCAGGTTAAATTGGGGGATCAGAACGTGGAAACTAAACAGCTTCTTAGTGCAAGCTATGAGTAAGTGCAATCGTGCTTTGGTGTTTCCTTTCTCTAGAAAATGGAAGGCCATATGAAGGTATGAAAACTACAGATAGCTTTAGGAAGAAAAGGATTAAAATTTAATACGTTATTTATGAAGAAAAAAGGTCGTAAAGACACTGAATATGAACTAGTAGTGTAAAGAAATTAGAAAGAGGTAATATTGCTGAATTTTATCAGAGGGTATTTCAGCTATCTTTTACTGAGTAACAAACCACTCCCAAAAGTCAGTGGCTTCAAACAGCCATTGATTTCACCTTCTAGTTCACTACTCAGAAACTATACAAAGGCTCAGGTGTGGGGTTTTCTCTGCTTCACTTGACATCATCTGGGGTGGCAGAGGCAGGAGGATTTATTTTCACAATGACTTCTCTCACATGTGGCACCTTGGTACCCCTTGGCTTCTCTACAGTGCACCACTCTCCAGTACCTCTCTTCATGGCTTGGGCTTATGGTAGTTTCAAGCTAGTCATATCTTTTACCTGATAATTATATTCTAAAAGAAAGAAAATGGAAACTGCTAGGCTAGCAAAGGGATATACCCAGAATTAAAATAACATCATTTCTGCCAGTCTCCTAATAAAAGCAGTCACATGACCTGCACAATTTAAAGGGTATGAAGCAAGCCACCACTTTATGGAACAACAGTCATCAGTGTCACATTGCTGAATACACCTGGGAGGGACATGTGGTTGCAGTCATCTTCAGAAAATAAAATCTGTCATAATTGTTATGTGGAACATTCATTGTTTATTGATCATTTATGTGCCAGATCTTGTGGTAGGGGTTTAAATGCAAAACTGAAGGGACATTGCCTTTAAAGAGATACTTGTAGAAAGTTAGCAACTTATTTAAAAGAAGTATTATATGTTTGTGCTGATAAAATTTGAAACTGAACAACTGGGTCAAGTCTGGAAACATAATTTAATATGTCTCTTTAATTTTTAAAGAGGATACTATTAGTATATTGCCAAAGTTATACAAATTTGCTTTAAAATAACATATTCCAAAAATAACCTAAGAAAGAAAATGTTTTGTTTCACTAAGGTAAAAGAGAATTATATTCTCATTTGTTTTATTTTTCTTAAAAGAAGTATTTTTTTTAATATTTATTTATTTTTTTTAGTTGTAGTTGGACACAATACTTTTTTTATTGTATGTGGTGCTGACGATCGAACCCAGGGCTTTGCGCGTGCTAGGCGAGCACTCTACCACTGAGCCACAACCCCAGCCCAAAAGAAGTATGTTTAAAAAAAAAAAAAAAAAAAAACTTGCTTTATATATAATTACTAAAAATATTTTATATATTTAAATACTTATTTCATGTAAATTTTTGTTTATCTCTTTTTTTTAATTATTTCTTTAGTTATAGGTGGACACAGTGTCTTTTTTTTTTTACTTTATGTTGTGCTGAGGATTGAACCCAGTGCCTCACACATGCTTGGCAAGCGCTCTGCCTCTGAGCCACAACCCCAGCCCTGATTATCTCTTTTTAAAGACATTTTTATAATTAAAGATCACTATCAATACTAAATCTTGTCTCTTCTGCTATTTTTAAGATTGATTTAATGTCGCTAAGTAAATTCCACTGCTTATTACTAAATTGGTAACAGTTATTTGAAGAATAGCTTTTCCTGTTTACTAGATCTTATGTTTAAAATGCTATTTGCCTCACCAGAATCCAGTATATTTCTGCTTATATTAGACAGGATTTAACTAGTATTTAGTAACAGAATTATATCCAGGTTTCTTTCAGGGGCTAGCAGATGTTGAACATCAAAAATATTCACTTCAGTTGAGAATGTACTGCAATTTGGCTAGTATATTTTTATGATTGAATTGACAGATTAAACTTTTTTGTTTTGATTTTTGATTTACCACTATTAAATTAGCTTACTGTTAAAAACTGCCTTTAGTACACACTTGCAATTTATATATTATCCAAGAAATATTTGGACTGATGCAAGGTTGACATTTGTAATGTTTTTCTTAGATTTCAGAGGGAGTTTACACAAGGAGTAAAGCCTGACTGGACCATTGCACGGATTGAACACTCAAAGTTACTAGAATAATCTTTCTTGGAAAAAATCAGCTTATGGACTTTTAGCAACTGCTATAAAGAACTAAGGAAGAAAAAATTTGGATCTGATCTTCACTTAATCAAGTGTGTGGATTACTTTTGTATTATTTTGAAATACTCCTTGCAGTATATTGACATGATACAATAAAGCATTTTCCACAGATTGTTATCACCTTCTTCAAAAGAGGTCAAAGTGAAAAAAAATCACAACACATTATTAGTGTCATATTTAATATCATTTCTGACTCTATATCTCTACAAACTAATAGACATGATAAGTTACTAAAAAAAAAACTACTTAGCAATTTCTAAATTAAGAGTCCTTAAATAAGCTATTATGGCCAACACATTTATACCATTAATCCAACAGTATGTAAAATTTATTTTTTAAAAGCACTGCTAGTATTTGTTACTTTCTGGTCTCTAGCTAGATAGGAAGGATGGATGGATTTATAGCAAATTGTCCGTTTCAGAACTGAAGTAGGGAACTTGAAGCATACCAAGGCACTTTGAGGAAAAAAAAGAAAAGAAAAAATAGAACAATGCCTCAGCCACCTGTTGTTGGTCTAGCATTCTTGTATTTGGAGTCTTGGAAGTTGGAGTAGGGAGACAAAAATGACTGAAATTTTCCCTAATTGATAAAAACTATAAGCCCAGAGTTAAGAAATTCAACAAGCAAACTAAGACTTAAAACAAAGAAACCTCATCAAGTACATCAAAATGAAATTATTGAAAGCAAGCAAAACAAAATTGTAAAAGCAGATGGAAAGGCAGGGGGAAAAGACATTTCATACAGAGGAATCAAGATAAGAATGTCTACATATTCCTCCAAGTGAGAGACCTCCATGTAATAAGTGCTGAGAGAAAAACAAAAACTGCTGTCCCAGAATTCTGTGTTTAGCAAAAATATTCTTCACAATTAAAGATAAGATTTTTCAGAAAGAAAACGTGAGAGAATTTGTTAGCAATAGATACATTCCATAAGAATTCTTAAGGACCCATGGACAATATGGAGTTCAGAAATTGACCTGTGTGTATATGGACAATTGGTTTTTGATAAAAATGCCAAAGTAATTCATAAACAAAAGATGGTCTTTTCAACAAACAGAATTACCATTTGTTCACGTAGGAAGTGAACCTCAATTCTTGCTCCATTTTGTATACAATTTTAGTGTAAAACTAGATTTCAAATGAATCATAGACCTAAACAAAAGCCCAAACTAGAAATTCTAAAAAGAAGAAGGAAAAATTCTTTGCTCTCTTGGAATAGGCGAAATTTCTTAGATCATAATATAAACCATGAAAGAAATTTTCAAAATGAAATTTATTAAAATTAAAACTGCTCTTTGAAAGACACTCGTTCAAGAATCAAAAAGCAATTCACAGATTAGGAGAAACTTTCTAATATATACATCTGACCAAGGACGTATCTAGAATATATGAATAATGCTTAGAGCTCAATGATGAAAAATCAAGTAGCCCAATAAATATTGGGCAAAAGATTTGAATAAATTTCTCCACCACTGCAGAACTGGTGATTGAACCCAGGGGTGCTTCACCACTGAGCTACATTCCAGCCCTTTCTATTTTATTTTGGAACAGGGTCCTGCTACATATCCCAGGCTGGTCTTGTACTTGAATCCTGCCTCAGATTCCTGAGTAGCTACAGACATGTACCACCATGCCCGGCTTTGTATAGAGTCTTTATAAAAGATACTCAAGTTGACAAGAATGCTAAACATCCTTAGACATTAGGAAAGCAAAACACAAGAAACTACTATAAATCCACCAAAAAGGCATAAATTGCTTGCATTAATCTTTTTTTCTGTTTCCTATGACATAACCACAGACTGGGTGAATTATTAAGAAAAGGTTTATTTTGGTTTGGTTCTGGAGGTCCAAGGTAGAGGAGCTGCATTCAATGATAGTTTTCTTGTAGGACCTTACTTGGCTAGGTATAGGAAACACCCATGTGCCTGTCCCCTCCCCCTGCTCTCTCACTTTATATTATTATTATTATTATTATTATTATTATTATTAGGTACTAGAAATCAAGCCCAGCCCAGGGATACTATATTGCTGAGCTACATTCACAGTCATGCTCCCAGCTTTTAAATTTTTTTTATTTTGAGGCAGGCTCTCACAAAGTTGCTGAGGCTGGCTTTAAACTTGTAACCTTCCTGCGTCAGCCTAACAAGCCACTGGGATTACAGACATGTGCAACTGCACCCAGCCTGTCCTCTCTCCTGATAAAACCACTTGAATTCAGTCATGGTAGTTAATACCCTATGACCTTATGCAAGACCCCATCTCCAAATACAGTAGATTAAGTCCACCCTCTTAATACCCCACAATGGGGATTAGATTTCAACACATGAAGCACCAAGACACATTCAAACCACATACTAATCATTGCTACTGCCAATACCAAGTATTGGTGATGACATGGAGCACCTGGAATTCCTCACATATTGCTGGTAGGAATGCAAAGTGGTGCAGCCACTTTGGAAGATAGTTTGGCAGTTTCTTATAAAGTTAAATATACATTTACCATAGGATCCAGCAATTCTATTCCCAGATATTTACCCAAAAGAAATGAAAACATAACATACACATAAAAACGTATATGAATGTTTATAGCAGCTTTTTGCTTAATGATTCCAAACTGGAAAGACCCCAAATCGTCAGTAGATGAAAGGATATACAAGTGAGTGCAGGAAGCCAGACATAAAAGAGTACATATTATACTTGTTGCATAATTTTATTCCTGTGAAATTTTAGAAAAGGTAAAACTAGTTTGTATGACAAATAATTGCCTAGGGTTGAGGCTGGGTGGGAGAGATGGTTGTGAGATAGATCAGTTTGATTTGCTAATGTGTACAAGAGAGATTTTGGGGGGTGATGGTAATTGCATGTATCTTGATTGTAGTGTGGTTACACGGCTCTATGAAGTTGTGACTCATCAAACTGTGGACCTAAAGTGGGAGCATTCTGATATGTTAATCATTTTATGTGTTTTATGCAAATTATTCCTAAATAAAATGTATAGCAAGAAAAATAAGTTGTAGGAAAATAAGATGAAATGTTTTATTTTTATAAAGTATAAAAAGCTAATCTAGATTCCATCTAATCTTAGGCCTAATCTTCATATTATTTCAGTTAATCTTAGATGAAAGATATCTTAAATGAAGTAGATAATAGATAAGGTACATATTACTAAAAATTGCAACATGACATCAATTTGAATATACATTTCTAATTCAGAGATTTAAAAATGGATGAGGAATGTGTGATTTATAATCAATGTACATGTTTGTTTGTAAATTATATTTCTGCTGGGGGTGGGTGGATGTCTAATGTCCAGATAGATGATGGTCTTTGTATGTGGTTTCTTAGTAAAAGAAAGCAGTCTTTGGGATCAATTCCAGGTTTGAACAACAACAACAAAAAAAATGAGATATTCTTGGGTAAGAAAGCAGGGAAATGATCAAAGATAACAAAAATAATGTTGAAAGGACACAGTGGCCAACTTGAAAGGGCTTCCATTGGGCAAGGACAGCCAATGTGAACATCAATAAGAATAATGGCTCTATGGGCTGAAATACATCACATGTTTTGAAAAGCCGTTAGTTCCGAATGTAATTCCAAACAAAAACGTTTTGGGATACCTTTGGAAGTCATTAGGGCACTAACTCATTTCATTATTATAAAAATTGATAAGGATTAAAAGTCAAGCATTTATCACATCTGGCATGTACAAAATTATTCCAGTTATTTCCTGTTATGTAACAAAATTTAGTAGATGGCAATCATTTTACTCATGAATTGGAAATTTGGGCAGAGTTTGATTTGACAATTTTCTTTCTTTATTCTTCTTCTTCTTCTTCTTCTTTTTTTTTTTTTGCTTCAAGTTACATTGACTAGGGTTATTTATGGTTCAATTTGATCATTTTGAGGATTTTGTTAAGCTTTGCTCGGGTCTACTTACAGTAGATTTTAATCTATGTAATAGAGTTCTGTTCCATTTTAAAGAGGAGCATGTTCATAACTGTAACTGATAGTGTATCAAATGAATAAAATTCATGAATGTGTAGTGATTTTTAAGAAAAATAAAGGTTTGGGGCTCTGTTTTATAGAAGAATGCCAATAGAAGGTGATAAAGAATCATGATTTTGCAAACTATAATGTAACACTGATCCATACAAGGATCGTCGTGTGTATTAATTTCTTGTTGTTGATGTAACAAGCTACTACAAAGTGGTGTACCATAACATTGATTTATTATTTTTCAGTTCTGGAGACCAGAAGTCCAAAATGGGTCAAATAGGATAAGACTCTCTGCTGGCTAGAGGTAACTCAGATTAATTCCCCAAATTATAGGATTTCTGGGAACTGTTCAGCTCACAACCCTTGATCACTTATTGCTTGACTTCATAGAGTCTCATCATATACCTCAGTTTAATTATAACTAAATATTATAATATGATGATAAGGATAACTAAATGTTCTCATTATCATCATTTTAAACTATGGGACAATTGTGTGTTTCTAAAAAATAAGGACATCATCTATAAATTCATAAGAAGCTGTTATTAATGTATTCCATAATGTGATCTAATTTTTAAACTACATTTATTTATTTATTTATTTATTTTTTGTCCCAGACTTTTTCTCTAAGTTCCAAGAACCACTTTTCTAACTTCCTATTTGAAATCATATCTACAATGTCCCAAAATCATCTCAAGCATATGTCCAAAATGAAGCTCATTATTTTCTTTCCAAACTTTCTTCTCTTCCTATCGTGTGCTCTCAGGAAATCATGAAAGTAATTGTTCTTTTGCTTACCAATACCTGGGCATCATCTTGTGATTCCCTCTTCTTTATGGCTGATATCTAATCACTTTCAAATAGTCTGGACTCTAACTCAATGTTTTCCAAATCTCACTCTTTTTCCTATCTCAACAACCACGATCATAGCCCATGTTAATATTTTTTTTGCTCAGATCTTTTGCAACACACATAAACTGAATTATATATTTATTCTATATCAGTCTTATCCAATCTCTTTTCTACCTTATAGACACAGTCAACATGTATGAAAAAATTGATATTTTTAAATACCTATATGAAAATGTCTTCTTTCTACTTAAAATATTTCAGTAGTTTTGTACTTATTTCATGATCGGTAAATCCTCCTTAAGATGGTCTTCAATGCCTTCTATGCATAGCTTCTGTCTCTCCAGTTTAAACTACATTTAAAGTTCCACTGATTGTCTTTAAAATGATTGTTA